GAGTCAATAAACTTGCATAATATACACTATTCTTATGCAGCTAAATGCACAAGAGTATAAAAAATATTACTTTGAAAGGAGGGCAACAGAAAATAGAGACATATCCATTAGACATAGAGTTGTTGAACAAGTGCAGAATGTATAACGATGCTCTTTTGCAAGAGAAAAACATCTTTGATTGGACATAATTCAGAAATTTTGCTTACTAATATTTATAAGCAAGTTAAACAAGCAGCTGGTGTTCAAAACCCAGAGTGTCATTGGAGACTTAGAGTAGATACTAGTGCATCGTGAAAATTCTTTGCAAAGGAGTTATTTTAGAAATTTGAAGATCAGACCTAATTGCTTGATGAAAAGGTAGGAGTAGCAAAATATTACTTTGAATGATGGGCAACAGAAATACAACAGACATAAGTTTTTAAACGTGAAGTTGTTAAACAGATTCAATATGAGTTTCAATGCTCCTATGTAAATGAGAAACATATTTGATATTTGGAATTTTATAATAATAAATTTTAGATAACGATCATAAATTTTGCTAAGTAATAATTATAAGCGAGTTGAACAAGGAATTGGTACTGAAATCCCAGAGAAAGACCGGTGGCATCAAGTGCGTAAATGCAATGTGCAAATTCTATGCAAAAAGAGTGACTTTAGAAATTCAAAGATAAAATCAATTTTCTTGTGGAAATGTTAGAAGCAGAAAATTATATTCAGCAGTCAAAGCGGAAAACATTACTATGAAATACAGGCAACAAATAATACAGATCAAACTCTTAGACATAGAGTTGTTGAATTGATTCAGAGTGCGTCACGTTGCTCCTATATTAATAAAAATATAAATTTGATATATGGAATTGTCGAGAATTATGGATAACAATCATAAACTTTGGATAGCAATATTAATAAACAGGTTGACCAACAAATGCTGAAATCCCAGACAGACAACGGTGACATCAAGCAGGTACTTGCATCGTGAAAATTCTATGCAGAAGGAGTGACTTTAAAAATTTAAAGATAAGATTCAATTGCTTGTAGAAAACGTACCAACAGCAAATTGTATACAGTACAAAGGTACAAAGGAAAATCTTACTTTACAAGACTGGCAGTAAAAAATAAATATTTAAGTTTTAGACATGAAGTAGTTGAACAGATTCAGCATGCGTTACGTTGATTCTTTTTGAATAAAATATTTATTTGATATTTGTAATTGTATAATAATAAATTTTGAATAACAATTATAAATTTTGCAAAGTAATATTTATAAGCGAGATAAACAAGGAACTGATGCTGAAACCACAGAGAGATACTGGTGAATTCAAGTAAGTACTTGCATTGTGCAAGTTCTATGCCAAAGAAGTGACTTTAGAAATTTAAAGATAAGACCGAATTTCTAGTAGAAATGGTAAAAGCAGCAAATTGTTTTTAGCAGTAAGGTACAAATCAAAATATTTGAAAGATGAGCCACAAAAAATACTGATATAACTTTCGTAGAGTTGTTGAACAGATTCAGCAAGAGTTACAATGCTCCTATGTAAATAATATTGTATATTATTTATAAACTTTGCATAGTAATATTTATAAGCGAGTTGAACAAGCAGCTGGTGCTCAAATCTCGAGACTCACCGGTGACATAGAGCAGGTAGGTACTTGTGCATCGTGCAAATTCTAATTCAAAGGAGTTACCTTAGAAATTTGAAGATAATACCTAATTGCTTAATGAGGAGGTAAGAGTAAAGTACAAATCAAAATATTTGACAGATGAGCAACATAACATACTGATATATCTTTTAAACGTGGAGTTGTTGAACAGATTCAGCATGAGTTACAATGCTCTTATGTAAATGAAAAACTTATTTGATATTTGGAATTAATTAATTTGATATTTGTAATATTAACATAGTTACTATTTATTAGTAACAAGTTAAACAAGGAAATAGCGTCGACATCCCACAGAGACATACCAAATTCTATGCCGATGGAATATTTTGAAATTTTAAAGATAAACCTGAATTGCTTGTTGAAAATGTTGTGCAGCAAATTGCATTCAGCAGGAAGGTACAAAGGAAAATAATACTTTAAACAACCGGCAACAAAAAAGATAGTAGATAGTAGATATTTTTTAGACACACAGTAGCTGAACAAAAACTTTATGCGCTGCGTTAGATGGTCCTTTGCAAAGATAAACACCAACAAATGTTTGCTTCGCTAAAGAGTTTGTATCAATTATTTATAATTTATAATATTTTTTAACTTCCCGTATGGCAAGTTATACCAATCGCAAAAAAAAAAAATCGAAAATGGAAATGTTTATATATCTCCACATTCCAAAACCTTCTGAACATTTTGGCATACCTGTGTGTGTGTGTGTGTGTATGTATGTATGTATGTATGTATGTATGTATGTATGTACGTGTGTGTATGTATGTGCGGATACAAATTTTCGTCGACGATTTCGGGAACACGGATCAACCGATTTGATTAATTCAAAAAACATTCGATTCGTATTGATAAGGAGACGTGCTGATTAGTTTTTGGCAAAGGCAAATCTGGCCGTTCCGAAGATACGGGGCAAAAAGTGCCAAAAACGGTAACTCAGTTTTTAAGAGAACGGAGCGTCCGATTTGAATAATTAAAAAAGCATTTTACTTGTATTGACAAGATAAAGAATTGGTCAAATTTTAATGAAGGCAGGT